CAGTTTTATCTTCATTGTACCTTACAAATTAGAATTTCACAATCTCCATTTTAAAGATAATACGCTGTTTCAGTAAAGATGGATAACTTGTGTATATTTATGTGTAAACCTAATAAGATACAGACCAAGGTCTGGCATGACCCTAACTCTCATTTTATTTCCATGGCACTATTAAGGTCAGACTATAGAAAGCGGGGATGGGTCATTCAAACTGAGTTTTTTTCCATTCCTGAGCACCAGATGTCTCTGAGGTTAATCTTCTAGCTCTGTGACCAGTGGAATTATCATAGTTTTTCACAATGACAACAAATCAGCTAGGCCTAAAATATTAGTCCTCTCCTCCTTTTTATAGTTTAACTATGGGGAGAGTCTCAGTAACCAAAGTTGTAAAGGTTCTATGCAGGCCTAAACAAAGAATAAAAGCCAGTGGCATGAAAGCTTATTCTTTCAATAAATAAAACATTATGGATAACAGGAAATTGTGTAGAATCTCCTGAAGTCAGGAAGAGCTATCAGGAATTATTTACTGATTTATTGCTTTATGAGTGTTGTGGCAGAAGTGGCCCTAGATACTGTTGCTGCCATTAGGAAGGCAGAGTGGGCAGTGTCTGTTGTGCAAAAATCAATAGGAATTCACATATCCAAGGCGTATGCCTTACTACCTGAGCCACACCCCCAAGTCAGAAATCTTATTTTTATAAGGGGCTTCTTATCACCTCAGGAAAAGTATGAGGAAGTATCAGAATTGGGGCTAGAGAAATAGAACAGTGAGTATGGCATGTGCCTTAGCTGACCTGGGTTTGAGCCCTGGCATTACATATGGCAAAGTTCTTATGTAGAAATGAAGATACATTGCTGTCTGTCCTCATACTTGACCTTTTAACCTGGTTGGTATGCCTTCTCATTATATACCTCTTGAGCCTTAGAAAAACCAGTTCATGAGCAGGTCATAGCCAGAAACCCTTCAATCTATCCCTTCTCTAACTTGACTTAGTCCGGGGGTTATTAGCATATTTAGGAGAATGATCTGTGCTCAAATTCACAGTGTGATAAGATTTCATCATGAAATATCCTGGCTTATAACATAAATATAAAAGACCAAGGGCACTTTAAGGCAAAAGAGCCACAGTCCCATATTTGTCCATACAATCTGATTGTGATTGAGAAGTGCACCGAGATACTGAAGAAGCTGGAGCTTCTCTGCAAGTGCGGAGCCACCTGCTCTCAGTAGAGACTGGAATAATAGAGGCTCTCTGATACCGAAGGTAGGTAAACCCATCATGTCCTCAGGCATAGCAGTGGTCCTGTGTAACCTGAGTCCCAAGGAAGGCAGGAGGAAGGGATTTCCAGAAAATCTCTCCTTCATAGAGAGTCATGAGAATACAGATGAGTGAGTGAAGAATCAGTATTTTAACAACAACGTTATGTAGTTGCTGGAGCAGATTACTTTCATGATTACTTTATTTCATCATAGTTTCTCCAGTGGCATAAAAGAATAGGGCACAGTTCTGGCCGCAGTGTTAAAGATAGCGCTGTAGCGCTGTCCCCCCCATTGTTCTTCGATTTGCTTGAGCGGGCCCAGTAATATCTTCATTGTGAAACTTTTTACTATGTATGGCATATCGAATCCGTCATGGGGAGCTTGACAGGCTTCGCTATGCGGGCAAAATACTCTCAGTAGCTTGCCAGACTCTCTGAGAGGGGCAGAGGAATCAATCCTGGCTTGGCCGGGTTGGCAGCATACAAGGCAAACACCCTACCTGCTGTGCTATTGCTCCAGCCCATGTGTAGAATGCAAAATAAATGAAATAGCAAAATACAACAGCAGCAATAAACCAACAGCAACAACAAAAAAACTTATTATACTCTGAGGAGGGGAAAAAATGATCAGAAAGGAAGGAAAATGTGAAGGGGAGTAGACTTTTTGAACAGATATTTTACAATATATATATGACAAGAAAATCATCTCAAGATCATTAATATTTAGGGACATTCAAATAACAACAAACTTGAGATACCACCAACACACCTGTTACAATGACTATTATTGAAAGGGGAAGAGATAAGAAATACTACTGTACAAAAAAGCAAAGCCCTGTATAGCATTGGTGGGATTCTAATTTGGTACATATGAGAGAAAACATCAGAAATAGCCTTAAAATTAAAAAATAGAAATAACGTACAATCTAGCAATTCCACTTCTGAAAATGCATCTAAAGGTATTGAAAACACTGTCAGATAGGTATCTGTACTTCCCTGTTGCATTATTTCCAATAAACAACCTGCGGGCTGGAGCCGGAACACAGCTAGTAGGACGTTTGCCTTGCATTTGATCGACTGGGTTCGATACTCAGCATCCTATATGGTTTCCTGAGCATGGCCAAAATTGATTCCTGAGTTCAGAGTCAGGAGCATCATCAGGTATCCTCCCCCCACCACACCCCCCAAAAAAGAAAGAAAATAAAAGAAAGGAAAAGAAAACACACAATGTACAATAAACAACAAGGATTGACCTGAAGGGCATTATGCTAAGGAAACAATTCAAATGCAGAAAGACAATTATGATATGGTTTCATTTATATGATTGTGTACCCATCCCTCTACCAGTATTCATTCTCTGCCACCAATGATCCCAGTATTCCTCCCACCACCCCTCCCATCCCCCGACATCCCATCCTACCTCTGTGGCAGGGCATTGTTTTTTACTCAGCAGTTCTCATAACAATGTGAGGAGAGTTTTTTTTTTTGAAGGACTCTTAATAGAGAATTCTGTGTCAGAGTTTGAACAGAGTGTTAAAGATAAAAAGCAATAAAGGTTTTCATTAAAACTTTACAGACAAACCAACCAAACAAAAGTAAATTTCAATGTTTAAACAGTTTTAGAAAGGGGTGAGAAATAAATCAAGAAATGATAGCAAGAAATGAAATGTCACTGCTAACATAGGCTTAAGATGAGTTGGAACACTACAAACACCATTTCTCCATTTTTTTCAGTTACCCTTCCTTTTGTACTGTTGGTATAACTCAGGGTCAAGGGTAGAAAAACATCAAAAAAAACACTAAGTAGTTTGTCCTGCTGACAAATGCTAGACAATTCCATATATCTAGTGAGGTTTTATTTTGTGCTTTGATCAAGGCTTACTGTAAGAATCATTAGGCCACCACCCTGAGTACAGGAAAAAGCATATCCTGTATCAATATGACTGGAAATGTGGCAGTTATCTCTTCCTTATTTCCCCACAAGGAAATAATTTCACTCATGACAGACTTTGAATGTGGTATAACCGGGAACGCATAAAAACAGCACAGGAAACCAGGTGAGTCATAATGAGTGGGAATTAAATATAATTAAGAATGTTCCTGTATTTAGAAGGAAGTATTTCCCAGATAATAGAGGAAAGAAATCTGGCCCTAGATTTAATGAGATGGTGATAAGGAAGTAACAAACTGGTTTTATTGAACACCTCTTGGTAATAAGAGCAATCAAATCGGAGGACCTTTTACTTAAGCAAACTTCTATAAGTTCATGTGCAAAGTATTATCATCTTTAAACTGTTAAATTTAAAGATTAAGTATAAGAGACTATAAAATGTTATTTACAAGGATGCTTGTATTTGCCAAACTTTCTAATGCTCATATGCAATCAACCACATGTTCTTGGTTGGCCTTAGTTCAGATACTGAGTCCCAGAGTTGAACAGCTCTCATCTGAAAGGTCTTTGATAGTGTGCAATAGAGTAGAAGATTCAAAATAAGATTCAGTGAGTTTTGTTCTAGAGTAAAACTCATTGAATAAATCTAGTCCCTGCTCAGGAGTAGACAGTTGAATTTCAATGCAGAAATTTCACACTTTTTATATCTTAAGCCCCTACTGTCTCTTATTTACTAATGAGTTCTTCTCTTTGACTAAAAGGTATTTTTACAGGCTCTACTTTTTTAATGAAATCAATTAGCCAGGGTGAATTACTCAATAAAATTAAACTATAGTAAATAAATAAATCGTAATTTATATGAGGAGAATCAAAATATAATGTCAGTGTGTATATAAAATGGTTCAAAAATAAGAAATCGGCATATTAAAAGTAAAAGTGGAGACTATTGAAATGACAGAGCAACCTTTAGATCAAAGTATAGCTGCTGATATCTGCTGAGACATGAAAAAGCCCAGAGCCCACCTTTTGGACAGGCTTATTACTGCTGGAATAGAAACAAAGCAGGTGAGATGACTGTGAAATGCAGTGACATACACTCATGACCTTGAGCACCTGTTTCTCACCCATGATGCTCAGGTAAAATTGTAGGGAAAGGGGGATGTATTAGCTCCACATCTTGAGATTCAGAATTCATTCTTCTAGATAGAACATTGGGGCTGGAGCGATAGCACAGTGGGTAGGGCGTTTGCCTTGCCCGCCCACCACCTGGGTTCGATTCCTCCATCCCTTTCAGAGAACCCAGCAAGCTACCAAGAGTATCCCACCCGCACGGCAGAGCCTGGCAAGCTACTGTGGCATATTCAATATGCCAAAAAATAGTAACAAGTCTCACAGTGGAGACGTTACTGGTGCCTGCTCGAGCAAATCAATGAACAACAGGAGGACAGTGCTACAGTGCTACAGATAGAACATTGTATCATGCACTAGCTGTTCAGACTATTTTAGTATGAATTGCTAAGACTGGGAAGCCCTGGCCCAAGAGTAGAGGCTATTGGTGAGGAAATCTTCGAGAGAGAACACAGCCCTGGCCAGTTCTTCATTCACTTAGCAATGTCAAACCTCTATAACCATTAAACTTACACCAAGCAAGTTTTGTAATGTTTGGCATTTCTGAAATGAGTATACTTATGCCATTTTTACACTCCTGGATAATGTTTCTGAATAATGAATGCAATTTTAACTACTAACCTTATCTTAAGCCCATTTCAAAATAATCATATTTTGTATCATTCCTAGTCTCGCCATCACTCTAGTGAATTGTATCTCTGACACAACCACTTACACTTACTTTAATTCCTTGTAGTCCATAGCCAGGAGGACCAGGGGGACCAGGCAAACCTTTCTGCCCAATATCACCCTGTATTAAAACAGAAATAAGAAAGAATACTTAGGAAGAAATGACATTATACTTCCTGACCCATGACCCACTGCCACCACCATGTAAGTTCCTCTACAGTCCCTGCTCCAGAGTCTCATAAATAATTCTCAAAAGAGATCAATTAGCCACAAAAATTTCTCAGTGTATGTTTTACAAAGAATTTTGTGGCTAAAACACTTTGTGGAAACACTTCTTGTATGTAAAACTTCCATTTAATCCAAATATAAATAAGACATAACTCCTTCTGTTCATCAGTATTGTTGGCCTAAGAATCTTACCTGCTTAGATTTTTCTAGCTGCCTTCCCATCAGTCTTAGAATACCAGGGATGTGAAAGCCACTCAATTCTATACTTTCTTAGTATGTTGCTCCATTCAAAATGAAGTGCAAATTAAGCAGGGTTACAGATTGTTGAGTGTTTTTTATTTTATTTTTATTTTATTTTATTTGCAGAGTGGGATGTGTGTGTGTGTATGTGTGTGTACCTACCAACTGTGTGTAGGGTTTACTCCTGGTTCTGTGCTCAGTCATCACTCCTGATCGTGTTTGAAGGACCACATACAGTGCTTGAGATTGAACAGGGGTCAGCAGTGTGTTAGGCAAGATGCTTTAACTCCTATAAGATCTCTCCAAACCCACCGGGACTTCACTTAAAGATTCATTGGATGCAAGTGTAGATCCATATAGAATTTTTGTCTCTGTCTGTATGTGTACATGTGCGCACGTACAGGTGCACCTGTACATACTGGGCATGTAATCTAAGGCCTCAGGCACACAAAGCATGTCTGTCACAGATTTACATCACTGGACCCTTGTTTAATTTTTATTATGCTAATGAAGCAAAAAGTGTGTCAATTCCAGGAACACATTCTTTTTGGCATAATTAAAGGCCATGTTTCATGAGGAAAAAACTTCCATAATTAGAGATCAAACAATGTTTTATAGCATGATATGTTTCTTTGTTTGGGGACCTATCGCACACTAAAATATGAAAGTATTTAAAAAGTCCTACTGCAGTTGATTAACTTAACTTGTTTATCCCCTAAATTCTCAAGTTAACATTTGATGGGACAAGTTTTGGGAATTTGCTGAATTAATGTAAATTATTATATAAGTTGGGTTTTTTCCTTACAATATAAGGAAGAAAGGCTTTTTTTATGATAATAGAAGAACCAAATGCTCATTGAAAATGAAATTTTCTAATGGAAATAAAGATGACATAGAAGAAGAGGAGATGGAGGAGGAGGAGGTATAGGAAGAAAAAGAGGAGGAGGAGGAGGAGGAAAAGGGGGAGGAGATGACAGAGATTTTTTGATACATAGCAAATGCTCTCATCTGTTGTACATAAAGTAATAAGACAAGGAAAGGTAGCAGTGCGAGCAAATATTTGGCCATGGATTACGGAAATGAGAAAGACAAGGAAAGGGATGGGTGTGGATGGGGCATAAAAGAAAGGAGGTGGACAGGTGGTGACATAAGGGTATTGGTCAAGAGCATCGGATACTTTGATGGTGTAGAGGTGAGGTATATACATGAAAACACTAACACTATTGTAAGCATGTGACCAAACTATAATAATTTAAACAATAAGCTTGTTAGGAGTCAAGATATGGAATAGGAAGGACTTTGGAGATATTGGTGTAGGGACATTAACACTGGTAGTAGTTTTGGAGTTGCAACATTATATGCAGAAAACTTTATTATTAACGTCACTGTAAATCACAGTGCTTAAATAAAAATTTATAAAGTAAAATAAAAATAATAAGGCCCTCCCGTTGATCGTCGATTTGCTCGAGCGGGCCCAGTAACGTCTCCATTGGAGACTTTGTTGTTACTGTGTCTGGCATTTCGAATACTCTCGGTAGCTTGCTGGGCTCTCCGAGAGGGGCAGAGGAATCGAACTCGGGTCGGCCATGTTGGCTGCGTGCAAGGCAAACACCCTACCCGCTGTGCTATAAAAATAGTCCGTCAAAATAAAGTTGTTATTTAAAAAAAAGGTGGGAGTATATAATTTAAGAATCTTGGTAATTCTGGGAACTTCATTAACATCTTTGACTAATAAAATATTGTCCTTCTCTCTTTGTTAATGGGATAAAGTTCACATGCTATAACCTGAAGCAACTTGAAGGTAGGAAGGTACCTTTCAGATGCAGAAACTGAGACGCCACCCAGTGGAGGGTGAATTTTCTCAGAACTGGAGAAATGCCAAGAAATTGGGTTCTTGGTCTTGTTAAGTCACTGTCACCGTCCTCCCGTTGGTTGTTCATCGATTTCCTCGAGCGGGCCCAGTAACGTCTCCATTGGAGATTTTGTTGTTACTGTGTTTGGCATATCGAATACGTCACGGGGAGCTTGCCAGGCTCTGCCGTGCGGGCGAGATACTCTCGGTAGCTTGCCGGGCTCTCCGAGAGGGGGGAGGAATCGAACTCAGGTCGGCCATGTTGGCTGCGTGCAAGGCAAACGCCCTACCGCTGTGCTATTAAAGATTATGATAAAATGAATACTTAACAATAATCTTTTTTCATATTATGAAAATATTAAATAAATGTTTAATATTTATTTCTAGCCATATCAGGCCAGATCAATAATACAATAGGTAAGGTGCTTGCCTTGCATGCATCTGACCAAGGTTTGATCCCTGGCACCCTGAGGTCAGTTAGAAGTAAGCCCTGAGAATCACTGGATGTCACCCCAAAACCAAACCAAACAAAAAGAATCCAGGCTCTTTTCCTGGGCCACACTCTAAAATAAATGCCCCGTTTGGAAAAATTCCTATTATAAAAATCACATATGTAGAGGTATGAATGGCACATTTCTCTAACCTAACCTAAAATGTTTGTGTGTGTATGTGTGTGTGTGTGTGTCCCATTTTTAAAAACTGTTTACTCACTTTTTAAATATTCACAAAATATTAAAAAATAATTCTTTGCATTTTGAATCTGAATATACATGTTTGAAATTTGAATGTGTGGAGTCAGGATGCTAGATCTAAGGGCTAGAGCACATTCTTTGCATGCTGGGTCCTTGCCTTTGGATCTGGTGCTACATAGTCCCATGAACACTGGCCAGGAGCAACCCCAGAACATTAAGCCATAAGTAGTCCCTGAGCAGCATCCAAAAACCATAAAGGAAAAAAGAAAAAACAGTGAAATTAGAATTTGTGACAAGTGGCTCATTGCTACCGTTTTCTATGGTTATGCCTAAGACTTCTTTATTTTTTAATAAATCAAGGAAACACTTTTTGAGTCAGAAAATAAGCCCTGGAAACAGAGTTTCCTCAATCTTTGTGCAATTGATATTTTGGCCTAAATGATTCTTTATTATGGGGCAGGGCGACTGTCCTTGCATTGTAGCAGGTTTAGTAGCACCTGTGGCTTCTACCTCTAAAAATAGTATCTTCCTCTCCAAAATGTCTTTCTGGGATAGAGAGCAGAGAACAAAAGAATAAACAATCAACAAATTGATGATGACAAAAGAAGAAAATCAAAATGAAGCCAAAGGTTTAGAGGAAGGTCTTCCTCTTCCTTTTCTGGGGACAACACATCTGACTGTTATTCTGAGCCCCTGACAAACTGCACAATTGTTCCTATGGGCCCACGAGCTGGCCATCTATTAAGGAACACGTGGCTCACCCTGACCAAGACAAAGCTGTTTAACCATGGTCCAGCTTCTCAGAAACCTGGAAATACTTTAGCACCTTTCAACCACTTAAGTAAGAGACACTTTGACTGCACCCAAGAGGCAGTTCAGGGGCTGGAGCGATAGCACAGCGGGTGGGGCGTTTGCCTTGCACGCGGAGACCCGGGTTCGATTACCAGCATCCCATATGGTTCCCTGAGCACCACCAAGAGTGATTCCTGAGTGCAGAGCCAGGAGTAACCCCTGTGCAATGCCGGGTGTGACCCAAAAAGAAAAAAAAAACACAAAAACAAAAAAAGAGGTAATTCAACAGGCTGGGCATGTGCCACAGGCCCGGTTTGAGCCCTGGCACTACATGGTCCTCTAAGTACTATCAGAAGTAACTCCCAAGCAGACATAAAGCAATGTAAACTTCCATGCCCCCATTATGAGAAAGACAGGGGTGGAGACAGAAACTATTTTTTGGTGGGGAAGCAAATAACTTGATGGATTTAAAGCCCCTTGTAACAGTTCACATATAATGAGAAAGAAGGACTTTCTGTCAGCAATGAAAATGCTAAGTTAACATGAAAAGAAACATTGTTAAGAAGTTAATGCTTGCTTAATTCTCATAAGCACCTGAATTTCTTGAGCAGGCCCAGTAACGTCTCCATTGGAGACTTTGTTGTTACTGTGTCTGGCATATTGAATACTCTCGGTAGCTTGCCGGGCTCTCCGAGAGGGGCAGGGGAATCGAACTCGGGTCGGCCATGTTGGCCGCATGTAAGGTGAATGCCCTACCCGCTGTGCTATTGCTCCAGCCCGGGTAGGGTATTCACCTTACAAGCAGCCAACATGGCCGACCCGAGTTCGATTCCTCCACCCCTCTCGGAGAGCCCAGCAAGCTACCGAGAGTATTCGATATGCCAGACACAGTAACAACAAAGTCTCCAATGGAGACGTTACTGGGCCCGCTCGAGCAAATTGACGATCAACGGGAGGGCCTTTACCTTTTTACCTCACCTGAATTTCACATGGACTATAGACCCGGACTTACCTTTGGCCCTTGGGTTCCAATACCTCGAGGCCCAGGTGGGCCTGGGGGACCTCTCACACCAGGTTCTCCCTGAAAAAGCACAATGAAGGACAGTCACTCATTTAAAAACAAAAACAATTCTTATTTTGTATAATATCTTATACAGAAATAATTGAAAAATAAATGTAAAACCCCAAACTCTTAAATTGAAGTGAAAGTAATTGAGTCTTTCTCTACATGACCATTTCCTATACTTCACACTCTATGTTATCTTACTTTAATTACTTATATTGCCCTTTTTGCAATCTTTAGGCCAACTGACATCCTACTAATAGGTCTATTTAAAAGCAATCAAGTCACTTGACTTTTATGGCAACCTCAAAGTATATTTTCTCCACAATACCCTTATTTGGAATTTGGAAACTTTTATTGTGAAAAGAGAAAAAAGAAATAAGAATAAAAATTATTATTTAAAATCGGAGAGCCCGGCAAGCTACCGAGAGTATTCGATATGCCAGACACAGTAACAACAAAATCTCCAATGGAGACGTTACTGGGCCCGCTCGAGCAAATCGACGATCAACGGGAGGGCCTTTACCTTTACCTTTACCTATTTAAAATTTTAACATTCTCTGGGGCTAGAGCAATAGTACAGCAGGTAGGGCACTTGCCTTGCATGCAGCCAACCTGGGTTTGACCCCCAGCGTCCCATATGGTCCCCTGAGCATTGCTAATAGTAACCCTGAGCATTGCCAGGGGTGCCTCCACTCCCCAAAATAAAAACCACCAAAAGAACCCCCACAAAATCCAACAATGTTTAAAAAAATAATCTTTTTTAGAACTAGTTTATTGCTATTTTTTTTTCTTGTTTTCTGGGGCTGGAGCAATAGCACAGCAGTAGGGCATTTGCCTTGCAAGTGGCCGGCCCAGCCGAGCCGGGTTCAATTAGTCCGCCCCTCTCAGAGAGCCCAGCAAACTATTGAGAATATCTTATCCACAAAGCAAAGTCTGGCAAGCTACCCGTGCCATATTCAATATGCCAAACACAGTAACAAGTCTCACAATGGAGACGTTACTGGGCTCACTGGAGCAAATTGATGAACAACCAGGAGGACAGTGCTACAGTACTTGTTTTCTGAGCCATACTCAGTGGTGCTCAGGGCTACTCCCAGCTGCATGCTTGCCTAATGCAGTGCTCAGGAAACAGTGTGTGCGGAGCTATTGCTTCAGTTTTTTTTGTTTTGTTTTGTTGTGGGGGGAGCTATTTTTGTTGTTGTTGGCTTTTTGGGTCACACCGGGCAATGCACAGGGGTTACTCCTGGCTCTGAACTCAGGAATAATTCCCAGCAGTGCTTAGGGGGGACCATATGGGATGTCAGGGATCCAACCCCAGTCGGCCACATGCGAGGCAAATCCACTATACTATCGCTATCCACTATACTATCGCTCCATCCCTGTGCTACTCCTTTCTCATTTATTTTGTTTGGCACTGAAGATGCGCTTCTTGACTTAGGAATTGGCTCTATGGTACATTTGCCATTAGAGCAGTCGTGACTACAGGGTAAGTTCTATAAAGACTTTTCATTTCTTGACAGAGGGAATAATATTGGATGATTTCACTTATCTGTGATATACAGAATAATGGGGGAAATAAATTCAAAGCTTCAAAGGGATAGAATATCCTTGAGCCTAGATTTTGGGAATGAGTACAGGGAAGGAAAGAAACAAGGTGCGAATGTAAGAAGAGACAGATGGGAGATAACAGGCAGGGATAAGAGACCTCAATATGTCAGTGGTATGAAGATGTGGTATATGTACATATCTAAACCAGAGAGGCAACAACACTCTAAACATCAAACCCAAATTTTAAAACGTGTTCAGTAAGGAGATAGGTCAGAGGGTGAAGGTGGTGGTAAGAGGGAGCCTGAATACTGGTGGGGGGAAGTTGACACTGGTGTTAATGATTGTTGTTGGAACACTGTATGCTTGAAATTTTATTATGAACAACTTTGTACACTAGGACTCCTTAATAAAATAGGACGCAAAGTAAGACATAGTTGGGTTCACTGTACAGAATGTTTTTGATTCTGTGCCTCTTGTTTTAATTATTGGAATTTTGAATAAAATTCTGGGATGAATTTAACATACCATTGTATTACAATCCATACAAGCAAATGTTTAAGAGCTCTCTCTTCCTGTGGAATGATTTATTTTGTACCTCAAAATGGTGGAACTTAGTAAATTGACTTTAAAAAATTGCATAGAACATTTGAAATAGGTAATTTCTGTGTAAGATATCTTTCAAAAGAATTACTGGTAGGCATTGAGTGTAGAACTCCAAACTCTTTGCATTCACTAGTCTATGTTCTGTTAGGAGATGAATAAGTACATAGATTTCAATAGTGTAAAGATCAAGGGTTATAAGAAATGGTAAATTCATAATCTAGAAAAACCTATCCCTTACTTTACTTCCTACTTACAGACCCTGAAATACGTGTAAAGAAAAAAAAGCCATAGAAGAATAGAAAAACATTTTCAACTTTAATTACTGACAGTTCTTTCCATCTCTATATTCATAATTACATATCCCTTCTGTATATAGGCCACTTAAAAACTTTTTTAATTAATTTAAAAAAATGAATCACAATGAAATATATAGTTACAAAGCTGTTCATGATTGGGTTTCAGTCATATAATGTTCCAACACCCGTCCCTTCACCAGTGTACATTTTCCATCACAAATGTCCCCAGTTTCCCTCCCCCATCCCTTTCCATACATTCTGCCCCTTCTATGTCAGGTGCTTCTCTATCTCTCTTTCTCTCTCTCTGTCTCTCTCTCCCTATTTCTCTCTAATGACTCTAGTATCCTTTATCTCTTCAAGTTAGTATTATCTTCTCTTAAGACTACAGTTCCTGTAGGCATAATGATCTCTTTAGCACCTCTCTCTTCTGATCTCAACATTGAGTCTTCTAGCAGAGAACATAAAATTTATGCCCTCTCCTCTTTTTTCAGTCTGAAGTATCTTTAAAGTAACTGCCTATAAATTCACTGAGTCTCCAACTACACCTGACTCCTTCACATGCTTGCTACATTTTTACACACCCCAACAAAACAGAACACAGGCTAATAAAGTTTAAAAGATTTTACTAAAAATCATTAAATGTTTTATCAAAAACAATTACCTTCTTTGCTCAAAATCTTCAACCTGGAGATCTGGGGATATCCATTTTTCCCCCACATAAAATTATAATAAAGGTCTCAGACCTCCAGAATAACCTACTAAACCATAACAAATAGAAATACTCTACTATTATATACTGAGGCAAACATGTATATGAGAATGAAATGTATAAAATGTATAGGTGATATCTAAAAATTTTCTTCAGAATAACGAAGTGGGGGTGGGGAAGTGAGGAAAGAGGAAAAAACAAAACTGCCCCATGTCAACAGCTATTGAAGAAACATAGCAGATAAAGGGACACTCATGTTACTAGTCTCTCTATTTTCTCGTTAAAAGTCTCCCTATGTTCTTGTATGCATAATCATTTTAATTAAAATTTTAATAATCCTAAAATATACATAAGCTCCCGGGAGAGCACAAGGCAGAGTCTCCTACCCTGTGTCTGACTATCCTCGCCAAGGCCCAACAGCTGAAGACCTCCAGGCCCCAACCAAGGCCTTACTGGGGCCACTCTCCACACACTTGGATAAGCCTCAGACATAACAGAACTGGCAGAGGAACCCAGGTGTGTGGGACCCGGGGTTGAGATCTCCAAGCCTGCACGGTTTGGGACTGGACCTGTCAGTAGCTAGACAGTTACACCCTCCAACTGCCGTGTAACCCCAACAACGGCCAGGATCCAGAGATTATCACAACAAGCTCCTGGGAGAGCACAAGGCAGAGTCTCCTACCCTGTGTCTGACTATCCTCGCCAAGGCCCAACAGCTGAAGACCTCCAGGCCCCAACCAAGGCCTTACTGGGGCCACTCTCCACACACTTGGATAAGCCTCAGACATAACAGAACTGGCAGAGGAACCCAGGTGTGTGGGACCCGGGGTTGAGATCTCCAAGCCTGCACGGTTTGGGACTGGACCTGTCAGTAGCTAGACAGTTACACCCTCCAACTGCCGTGTAACCCCAACAACGGCCAGGATCCAGAGATTATCACAACAAGCTCCTGGGAGAGCACAAGGCAGAGTCTCCTACCCTGTGTCTGACTATCCTCGCCAGGGCCCAACAGCTGAAGACCTCCAGGCCCCAACCAAGGCCTTACTGGGGCCACTCTCCACACACTTGGATAAGCCTCAGACATAACAGAACTGGCAGAGGAGCCCAGGTGTGTGGGACCTGGGACTGAGATCTCCAAGCCTGCACGGTTTGGGACTGGACCTGTCAGTAGCTAGACAGTTACACCCTCCAACTGCCGTGTAACCCCAACAACGGCCAGGATCCAGAGATTATCACAACAAGCTCCTGGGAGAACACAAGGCAGAGTCTCCTACCCTGTGTCTGACTATCCTCGCCAGGGCCCAACAGCTGAAGACCTCCAGGCCCCAACCAAGGCCTTACTGGGGCCACTCTCCACACACTTGGATAAGCCTCAGACATAACAGAACTGGCAGAGGAACCCAGGTGTGTGGGACCCGGGGCTGAGATCTCCAAACCTGCACGGTTTGGGACTGGACCTGTCAGTAGCTAGACAGTTACACCCTCCAACTGCCGTGTAACCCCAACAACGGCCAGGATCCAGAGATTATCACAACAAGCTCCCGGGAGAACACAAGGCAGAGTCTCCTACCCTGTGTCTGACTATCCTCGCCAGGGCCCAACAGCTGAAGACCTCCAGGCCCCAACCAAGGCCTTACTGGGGCCACTCTCCACACACTTGGATAAGCCTCAGACATAACAGAACTGGCAGAGGAACCCAGGTGTGTGGGACCCGGGGCTGAGATCTCCAAGCCTGCACGGTTTGGGACTGGACCTGTCAGTAGCTAGACAGTTACACCCTCCAACTGCCGTGTAACCCCAACAACAGCCAGGATCCAGAGATTATCACAACAAGCTCCTGGGAGAACACAAGGCAGAGT